AGCAGTTCCATACCAGGCGTCAGAGTCACTGTGTCCAGATCATACTGGGGAGATTTTAGAAGAAGAGACTTTTACAGATTTCTCCATCTCTGAGATTCTGATTGCGTAGGTCTAGAGTGGAGAGGCTAGGAATTAGTAATTTCTGAAAACTCTCCTCATGATTCTAAAAATTGCTGAGTTGTCTGCATTTGCTAAATTGAGAAAGTAAGGGCTGGAGAAATTAAGTGATTAAAATGAAATTACCCAGCATTAAATGGCAGAATCAGGGTGCACATCCAGGTCTTCTGAATCTAAGTGCCCTACATGGCCTCAGAAGGTAGTATTTGACTCTTTGAGAGTAACTAAATCTCTTCCTCAAAGTCATTTTTCAAGAATTGTTCTATATTAGTAGGTGATGTTTTGTTTTTATATGAGCATATATAAAATTGCTTTCTACTTTATATATATTTTTGGAAAAATCAATTATATGTCCTATATTTGTACATGATGAAGAGGGGAACAAACATCTCCTGAAACCTTGCCTCCCAGCATGCTGTGTGCCCAGCATGTTCTAGCCTCTGTCTAGGAATTTAACTGTTAGTCTTCTCATCCTGTAGGCCCAGCCTCCAGCTGTCTTCTCTTAATCACTCCCTTTTCTTGCACTATCAAAAGCTTGAGATATTAAAAAAGAAGCTTCTGTAAAAGTTTGAAAACTGGGGAACCAGGAGCACTACTCAAGTACACTAAATGGGAAAGCCATGTCATCGGGAAAGGGTCTTGGGAGGAAGGAGTCTTGGTAGAGAGGATGCTGGGAGAATCTCATGGGAAGAAGGATCATAGACTAGAATTATAGGCCTAGCCTGGAATGCTGACATTTCAGGGATACAGAAACGCTCGATTAAGCTGTTCGGCCAGACTTCACAGAACCAGTCTGCCTTGAAGTTGTGAACAATGATATGTAATTCAACTGTTATTTTTTTCAGATTATTTTCATTTCTTTTATGTTCAGATATATTTTTATTTACTTATATGTGTATATCTTTGTATCTACCTCTATATCTGTGTTTAACTCTTTATTCTCTGTGGAATTTGTTTCGGTCTGTACTTAACTGTTTCTTGCAATTATTTGTCAACCAGTCATGTCAACATCAGCACCACTTATTGAATACGATTTTCTCTTCTGACTTGTTTGCACCACTCCCTTCTTTCTTATAAGAGGCAGTTTAAAGTTTTTACTTTATTTTGCCTTTCTTATAAGAATTGATTGGTGCTTTATTGATCTCCGTCGCTTCTGGAAAGGTGAAAATTGTGGGGAAAATTCTCTTCGTTGTACATATCTAAGAACCACCATTTACTTTCCCCTTTCTGTCATGTTATCTTGTCGATCAAAACAGGATAACTGTTATTGGACATTTTAATGAGTTCCCTGGAAAATGAATTTCTACTGGTTATTTCCTGTCTCAAGACTTATAACAAAATGTACAATTTTCTAACCTTTCCAGCTGTCGGAATGCACTGAAATATGAGTGTTACTAGGCATTTTCAAAGAATCTGAGTGGGTTGGAGAAATATTTCCACCAGGTGTTTAGCCATGCCGTAATCTATACCCACTTTTCACATCCTTGTGAAGAGGGTGGTGTCGCATTCCTCCTGGAAAATCTAGTCAATTTTATAGCCTCTTCCTCAGAAAAAAGTGTATGCACATAACATTTACTGTAGTTTCCAGGAGTTAATTGATTTGTGAACCTCACATTACTTAAGCAAATCAAGTTTCTTTTGATGTGAGACAGGGATAATACTACTCTCACATTTTAGGTTCTCATCCACTTTGGTAGAAGACCATTTGCCTTTTCCTTTCTTAGGAGAGACTGTCATGTGCATGTGTAATTTTCAGAATGGCCTTAAATCCTATTTAAAATAGGTGAATGGATGGATGGGCGGGTTGTGGATGGATAGAAATTGCAATTTCTAAAGCTTACTTTCTGAATTGATACGTGTTTTGATAAATCATGGTGTTAGCTCTGCTCGGTCTATTGATTAAATACTCCCTTTTTGCAGCCTCATATCAGAGGGTGCTCTCCTTTAATTTATAGCCTTTATTATATCACATCAAAAGTAGTCCTCTGTGAGCACCAATTCATATCTAGAGTAAAGGCAGGAGAATGAAGCCGTTAGAAGCACAGACTTTGGAGTCAAACTGCCTGAGTTTGATTGCATCCCGTCTACTTGCTGTCTGGGTGACATAGAGCAAGTCACTTAATTCTTTGAGTCCCAGTGTTCTCATTTATACCATGGCAGTGGTAATAGTAACCACCTTAGAGATGTTCTGAGAATTTAGAACAGCATCTGGCATCAGTCAAACACTGAGTGCTTGACAAATAAAGGTTCTCAGCTGTGACAGTTCAATCACAAGCAGTTGTGATTATTACTAATAATGAAGTAAAAATGTTGGCACATTTTTTATAAATTGGACAAAGTTGAAGTTAATTGCCAGACTAAATCTCGATGCCATTTGACTTGTATTCCTTATATACTTTATTAATAATGCCTCAGATTTTTCAAAACAACATACCTAAAATTGTCTCTATGCCAAGCATTATGCTGAATGCTTTACACGAGCCTTATTTAGTTCTCACAACAACACTATGAAGATAGGCAATATTTGTATTTTGTCTTATAGAAACCAATTGACCTAGGGATTGTAGATAACTTTTCGAAGTCATACAGCCAGTAAATGGTGGTGCTGGGAGGCACACCTTGGCATGTCTGACTTCAGTTTCCTACCCAAAACCTTATACTGCCTCTTGCATGGGAATAACAGGGAAACGATAAGTGCAGAATATGTTGGGGAATATGCTGCCTATTTTTCTCTTGTCTACTCAGTAGTAATGAGACACCCATAGAAGGATACACCAACCATAGGTGGGAAAAGACCATGAAGAACTAACGTGGAGTCATTAGAGATAATCGCTATTTGAGTAAGAGAATGCTTTGTGATTGAAGTGTTCCTGTACATTTAAATATAGTAGTGCAAAATCGTATACTACCTCACCTACTTAAGAGGTTGCAAGATGAAATGAGTTAATCCATGAGAAGCATTCTGCACAGGGCCTGGCACACAGCGAGTGCTCAGTTAAGTGTCAGCTGCAATTACTGTTGTTGTCACTGTGATTGGCCCTTGACCCTCAGAGGGGCTCTTCAGGAGTCTAACCTTGTTCCCTGAATTTTCAGAGGTTAAATGACATATGCAGAGTAACATAACTGGTTCCTGGTAGAACCAAACCTTACTTCCGATCCAGCTTTCTCTAAGCCTGATGGCTTCATTTGGTAAGCAGATCACCTTCCCCCATACTCTACCCAGTAGCTAGAGAAGCCTCATTGGCCTCATTTAGTCTGGGAGCTGGATGTTGGTTTAGTCCCTGAAATAAGTTCTATAATGGATTTTCCCTGTGCGACTGGAACATCCAAGCCTTCCTGCATAAATTCAGCTGCAATTGTGATCTGAACTATTTTACGAAGATACTTAATTTGAAGCTCACCTAGCATAGTGCTTGGCACAGTTTCAAAATTTGTGAATTTTCTTCCCCACACCCTTCCCTTCATTTCTGAGGTCCCGCTATTGCTTATACATTAATGAATGTAAAAACAGGTCTTTCAAAAATCTGTTGTCTCCTAGAGCATACAGTGTGACTACATGGTATTTTCAGCGGGTTCATCCAACACTGTGACTCCATGAAAAAAATAAACATGTGTTAGCTTCATTTTACAGATGAGGAAACTGATGCTTAGGAAGACTAAAGGACTAGTCTAGGTTTTCACAACTGACACATGACAGAGTTCTCTTTGTTATTCTTCTGAATCTTATGTATGTAATAAAGGATTTTCAGAATTTTCTTATGTGCTATTTTCATGCTATTTTGAGATCATGTGAAATCTATGGAAATTTCATTAGAAATCTTCATCCTATGATTTAAACTTGCTGTGTATATTATGTAGTCCTGCAATGACTCAGAATTCCTTAAATGACTTTTTTTTCTCTCCCTTCAAACAAAGTCTTAGCAGTACCACTGCAAAATACCAGTGTGAAATGTCATAAAACAGGTTATTCCAACCAAGAATCTGAGGTGAGGACAGCTTTAAAATGTTCAGGCACATTAAAATCAAATCAATGGTGAGAATGCTGGCAGCTAGTCAGAAAAGATGTCTCTATAGCACATTAAGAATTTTAACCCCAGGGAGGATGTTCAGGAACTTGGGCATATTCATATCTGTGGCCACAGAAGAGAAAAGGGGCTGATTTTCATCACAGTGTCACTGCCAGGCAGCACATGACTCTCCTTGAATAACTCTGCATTTCATAGTTTTTCCAAGGAGTTTTCATTCGTTTTGCTTGTTATCATAAACATCTTCCTACTTTAGGAAACATAAAATGTATTAAGATAATTGTAATTTAAAATATTCAGAGCCCCGAACCATTCATGGCATTATTACTTAAATAAAGCGAGTATCTCAGTAAAGCAAGTCACATGAATTTTTTGGTTTCCCAGTGCATATACTGTAGTCGGTTAAGTGTGCAATAGCATTATGTCTGAAATCAAAAGACAATGTACATACCTTAATTAAAAAATACTTTATTGCTAAAAAATGCTAACCATCTGAGCCTTCATCGAGTCAAAATCTTTTTGCTGGTGGAGAGGATCTTGCCCCAGTAACATCAGAGATCACTAATCACAGATCACTGCAACAAATAATGAAGGATTTGACATATCACGAGAATTACCAAAATGTGACACAGAGGCATGAAGTGAGCAAATGCTGTTGGAAAAATGTCATCAATAGACTTGCTGGACATAGGGCTGCCAAAAACCTTCAATTTGTAAAGAAAAACAGTATCTGTGAAGCTCAATAAAGTGAAGCGCAATAAAATGAGTTATGCCTATACTGAGCCCCGCAGCTGACTTGTCATGTTTAATGTTTTTCTTTTTGCCTACACAAGAGGAATAGCTTTTGTAACATAAATTTAAATGACAATTCAAGCTAATAAATGTGGTCGGCCTAGCAAGTGATAAGCATAGCTAATTCAGATGTCTCTTATATAAAAATAATGCACGAATACATTAAAAATTTAAAATGTTAATGCAATTAGGAAAACTTAATATTCAATAAAGAAGCATTTTTCAGTCTTAAGAAGGATGATACGTCATTCAGTGACCAGATAAGGACCAAATTCAGTTACAGTTCATTCAACTGATGTGTATGTTAGAAATAAATAAAAATGATATACTTTATTTGAAGAAACTTTGATAAAACAGTATATAATGTGTAATATGTGGACAAAAGGAAACCCAAGTCCTCAAGGACTATGGGGAAACAAAAGCATGAAATGACTTAATAAGGAAACTAGAACACAGTATCACCTGACTCCTTGGGGTGGGGAGTGGTACAGGCTATAGCAGTAGGTGGTCGGGCACAATGGACATGGAACCTGAGGGGAGATGCCTGGCTTCTCTGCTAAATTGAGCCTTTGTAATTTTGGGACACTGACATCAAGACAGTAGAGTGTGAAGTTGTGGCAGTGTTTGTTTTAATGTTACTGTGGCATGTTGGCACTCTGCTCCTTTGCAGGTGGAAGGTGAGCATTCTGATGAGGCAGCCTTGATTCTCCACAGGAGGGGATATGATTGCCGCTTTTCCAGCAGAGACACAGGGCTGCTTTGTTCCACTACCCAGGGAAAGGTGAGCTGAAAGGTTGTGTTTGTTTTGTTTTGTTTTGTTTTCTGGGTTTTTTGTTTTTGTTTTTGCTTGTTGAGTTAATGTGCTTTGAAATCCTTACTTTCTGCAAATAATAACTGACAATGAGGTAATGTGTCATTGCCTCTTCACTTACTTGTTCCCCTCAGCTGCAAATTAGCTCAGGTCTGCCCATTTGAACAAAGCACTTTATCAATCGTCAGTCTCCTCTCCTTGTCAGTATCAAAATGCATCACCAGAACATGTTTACATTTGAAGACAATGTTCTCTTAGATTCTTAGACCTTCCATTTTTAACCTACAAAGCTTCTTTTCCCCACTTACCCCCCATATTTCCTCCTCTCTTGGATGTACTCATGTGCGATCTAGTTCAGCGATGGCAAACCCAAGTCCTAGAGGGTCCAAGGCAAGTTTTCTACTAACTAAAGTGGATCAGGTAGCAGTAGGGAAAAGAGACTGTAGCCAGTGGGATAATTCAACCACCGCCCTTAAGGCAGCTACACTTAACTCCAATCAGTTGTTTCCTGATGGCAAACATGCAATCTAGGTCTTCTGATGAAGCCAGATTTGCATGAGTCCACACTGTGTAGACGAAACAGATCCTTAGGCTGACTACTGCTTGCTGGCTGCCAATTTTTGATTTCAAGTTGATCTTGCTGACAGTTCCATCAAGCCTGAACTTGGGAGAAAACAAACCCCTAATCTACCTCTGGCTCTGAGCAGGCTGTAACAGAGAACACAGTTGGGTTGGTTCTAGCATACAGGCAGTTCTGCTCTACCAGGCAGCTCAGCTGACCCAGCAATTCTCCGGGACCTCATAGATACACTGTACACCTGACTCAAGTGATTCAATTCCAGTGCTACAAATTAGCATGTACATAGGACCTGAAAAGAAGGAAAAGTACGAAAGGGAACCTAAATCTGCTCAGATAAGCTTCTCCATTCTTTTACCTCACCCTGAATGGAGTCAGTGCTAAGAAAGCACTGGTATCTGTTATTTTTTTAAGTTATATTTGCACTTCTACCTTATTGTTGATGACCTGAATATACTTGGTTTTGAACATTTGTATTCAAACATTAAAGCATTGAGTCTTAAGGGGATCATATGATCCAAGGATTCAAACAACTTCCCCACCCTGTAAATGGGACTTACTGACACATAAGGAACCTTCCTTGTGGCAGGCCTGTGCTCCTGTCTCTTAGCTCTGTTGGAATGGGAAACAATGGTTGAGAACCAATTCTGTTAAGGCTATATTGACTGAAAGAAGTGGGATGTTTGTAAAGCTTGTTGGCCCATAGATATCCTTTCTTTTACTGAAAAAGTGGCCCCTGCACATAGGTTCTCACGCAATACAGAAAAGGAATGTGGTACAAGTCACCCTCTCCTCATTACCAGTTTCCTACATCTCCCTCGATGGTCTGTACATTCAAGCATGTATAATATATTTAATCTCCTACCCATCCCCTCCCCATTCTTTTTACTTAAGAGGAACTTCAAACATACATTTTACTCTTCTCATACTATTTTTCACCGAATATAGAAATGCATTTCTAATCTTTCTTCGAAGTTGATGTAAACATGCAGATTTTTATCGTTTACTTTTTAGATATTGGTACGGGAACTTTTTAACGAGTTTACTGTTGCAAGTCTCATACCTTCATCATTGTCCTTGATGCATTCGCCTCCAGACGCCCGAAATATAAGTGAGATCAGCTTGAGTCCCATGGAAATCAGCACATTCCGAATCCAGCTGAAGTGAACCTGGCCTTCAAATTTGGATTGGGAAGCATTGGCTTTTATACACTTCTTGGTTTGACGTGCAATAAAGAAGCACATTATTTTAGCTTCTGGCTACTGTGATTTTTTTTTTTTTTTCAATCAGTAGTAAGAAAAAAAAAAGCCATGCTATAAACCAGTTTTTTTTTCTTTAAGTTTCTTCCAACGACTACCACCATTAGTATGGATTAATGCAACAAACAAAGAAATGTCTAAATACAACCTCTCAACAGATTATATCTCAGGTTAAATGCTAATTATATCTGTGTTGGGGGTTGTGAAGAGATTGTTATGAGTATTCACGTTGCTGACTCTTTGTTAATTTTACAAAAATGCCCATTTTTACCAAAACGGAATGAGAAGCTGGTGGGTAATAGCTAATGTCCAAAATGGTTGCAATCATTCACACACGTTAGAAAATTTTTGAGTGTTGAAATATGTGGAAAAGTGCAATCCATCAACCCTTGTGATATACGAAGTTGGTTTTCACACCTTTTTCTAATGTATTTGACCCCTCCCTTCCTACTCCTAATAAGTGTGTCCAGAAATATCAGATTTTGAATAATTCAGTAGTACAAAAGAGACATATTTTCATTACTTGACAATGTGGGATAGGTGCAATTTATTCCATTGTCACTAAAATAGGAGAAGCAATTCCATAGGTACCATTACCTCTTTTAGGTACCACAAGGCGTGTTTTTACACAGCTCATTTGAATACAGATGTTCTGAGAAGGGGTTTTCTATTTTTAAAATACCATATTAAAATGAATGTGCCTTATTTTTTTATAAGTCTTGTTAAATCTTTTGGTGTCCATATTACTGTTTGGGGGGGTGATGTATTGGGGGCAGGGAGAGGGCGTGACTACTTTCTATGACACATAAATTGTAAAATTTATGCCTGACAATACTGGCCACATTCTGATCCGTTTCATTAAATTCGTGATGATGTTATTCTAAACATTTTGACTATTTGAATGTACTGAGATCTCAGAAAACAAAACAAGAAAGAAAAATATTAATTAAAATATGCTGCTGCCAAGGAGACTGCAACTTGAAGCAAGGATTTTGTAGCAAAAATCCACACACTTTCCATTTCAGAGGAGTTAACCATATTGAAGAGAGAATGCTTTAAAATAGACCCTGTTTTGAAACCTGCTTATATGTAGCTCACCATGATTTCTTATTAAAGAATGTTTGTTCGGTGAATTCCATGTTTTTGTTATGTGTGTGCTAACCTCAAAGTAGAGTTCTAAACCCATGTGCTATTACAGTACTTTTGATAAAATTTATTTGGGATCATTGTTAACTTGACATTAAAATAAAAGTCACATTAGCAACATTTAGAGTATTCAGTTTGGGCATAGAAAGGATTCTTTGAGTATGTACACTTTTGGGAATTCTCTTTGTGTTAACTAATGGATTTAGTATTATCTGACTTTAAACTTCCATTTACCTCCTGTCATTCCATCTTCTTTATAGAGAAATTAAAACCTAATTTCTGTTTCATCATGAAGTCTGATTATCATCTGGATTTTTAATTAAGATGCAGCTCCTAAAATTATTGTTAAATTATGTTAAATTCATAAACTTCTTTCGCCTTTAATAACTAAGGAAACAATACCAGTGTTGATAAAGATATTAGAAGGGAGTAATTTCATGCAATAAACATGTACTGTAAGTTTTCTTCCTCATTTTTGGGGGAATAAATTAAAAAGAGAAAAAAAATACTTCCCTTTTATGGGCATCTGTAGATGTTATGATTGCCAGAAGCAAATTCCAGGAATAGGATCAGTATTTTCATTGCATCTTAAATGTAAAACCTTCCTATGGGAGTTTACTGTGTTCTGTGATCGAGTAGGTGTGCTTAATCATTCTGGAAATTTTGATCGGTTAAAAAATCTTGATGCAATAACATTGGTTTTGCCACTTCTGGTTAAGATCGATCTGTCCCATGTCATTCGGGTCTTATTCAGTGTGTGTTGCCACCAACTATTCAGAGGTAAAGCAGAAATTCTCTTGAACCAGCAAGTTTCTGCTTTTTATCTTTAGAATAAATTATCAGGGAAATGAAGAGAGGATGCTTTTGCTTTGGTCTGTCTTTGGCCAAGAACTGATTAAATAATTTAGTGTCTCTGGCACACTAAAAACAGTACAGTTGTGATCTCGGTGGCATATGTGTGCCTACGTTTTATTATCTCAGATGTTCAGTTGACCAAATAGTTCATTACTTTCTCCTATTTTTGGCGGGAAGGGGGAGGGAGTTTTAATTTGGATTATAACTGCAGTGCTTGAGAACTCAGCATCCTTGTTTTCTACAAATACTGATTAAAATAAAATGCTGTAAAGTGTGTTGTAAAACATTGTAATTACCTTCCCATGTCTTTGTTGTACTTGTGCCGAAATGTTTTTACATTCCTTTGTCTGGAACAAAATCTTTGCTTTCATTTTGATTATGTTGCTTACCTTGGAATCAATAGGTTTTGATATTTTCTCTTGGAAGATTTTATATCTTTTTGGGAATATGTAATATAAGATCTCTAATAAAAGATAAATCTCACCATGTGCATGTTCCTCTAGAGTAATTCTTAAATCCTATTTAGTACACAAGATATATTAAAACATTTTGAGGGATAGGGTGGAATAGTGAGGGCCTGTTCTTTGTCTTTTATAAATAAATTGTTCCTCCTTCATTCAGCCCAGTTCTACTTAGAAAACATAGTTTTAGAGAGCAAGTGATCGATGGAATGGTGGTGAGTTTCCCAGCTGGCTTCAGAAAAGATCACCTTTGAGACTGGGGTCTAGGAATGCCCCCAGCACTCGGTGCCCATGGGGCCTCTGAGCCAAGGAGGAGGGGTAGATTATGGTCAGATGCCATATATTCTAGGACAGAGATGTGGAGAGTAAGCCAACAGGAAGCTGAGACGTCTCTCCAGAAGATAAGGCAAGTTGGAAGGGTGGGATCTGAAGGCAGGCTGCCAGCCCGCTAGCCCAGACCAGCCCACAGAGGCCATAGAGGAGTTTCTTCAAAGCTGGGAGATAGGGGAGGGTGAAGGATGAATATCCATCCTATAGGTATATATGGTAAACAATACATACTAACTAGGAAGTGTGGACTTGTTTGGGGTACTTATACAGTAAAGTTATTCACTTTGTATATTGCAAACTGTAAAAACCTAGAAAAATATTAATAAAGATTCCATCAGATAATGAAAATTATCTTTGGTCCATAATATTGGATTATCAACATGTTGAAATAATTTGAATATTAAAACTAATAAAATTTTAATTTAGGTGGGCATATGTTCACATGCCTCCCACAAACCTGTGATAGACCAACGAAGGGGGGTTGTGACTTAATGGTTGAAGGAGTAGTTCGAAGGGGAATAGGGAGAACTAGCAAGGACCATGCTGCTGCCACATATTAAAGCAGAGCACAAATGCCCAAAGAGAGGTTGTAATGGACCAGACTCCCTCAGCATACACCGGCTTCAGCAAAAATAAGAAATTTACTGTCTCCAGTAACAAACATTCAAGGGTAGATAGAGAACACTTCAAATAACAGCTACAGCCGAGTAAGAGATGGTGTCACCCAGGATCTGTCTTTATCTCTTGGTTTTGCTTTCCTCTGAATTCACATTCTCAGGCAAGGACTTCAAGTTTGATGACAAGATGGCTACCAGCCGACCCAGACTTACATCCATCTGGCTTAGTGACTCCAATGAAAAGAGAACACCTTTATCTAATTTTTCAGCAAATATCTGGGGATTGATGTCACTGGATGTCATCTGGATCATATGTTAATGACTGTGGCTATGGGTAGAGTTAAGTTCAAGTGAATCGCAGGGACAAAATAAGTAAGAAATTGTCCTCCCCTGGCCCCCCTCCCCCAAATAGAAAAAGGGATTCTACAATCAGAAAAAAAAAAAAAAAAAAAAAAAAAAAAAAAAAAAAAAAAAAAAAAAAAAAAAAAAAAAAAAAAAAAAAAAAAACGGTAGTTAAACTCGAGGATACTGTAGAGATAGGCAAAATATGGTAAAAATATATTGCAGAAAAAAAAACAAATGTGCAGATTTAAAGAAAGCAGCTCACCCAGTTTCAGTTTCAAGAAAGGTTTCATGGACGTGGTAAACTTGAGATCTTAAAAGATGTATTTGATTTTAGCAAATAGAGACAATATGTGTCTTCTCTATAAAAAGACTGCAATGTGGAAAGACATGGTACCAGCAAGCCTAGAGATCTAGAAATAGTTTCCTCTGGAACAGTGCTGTCCATTAAGACTCGGCGTGGTTCTTTATACAGGTGCTTTCCAATATGGGAACCACCAGCCGCATGTGGCTCTTGAACATTTGAAATGTGGTTAGTGCCACTAAGGAACTGAACATCTTCTAGTTTAATTAAATTTAAATAGCAACATGTAGCTACAGTATTAGACAGCACTGGCCTGGAGCACATGGTATGTGTAAGATCCTAATTAGTAGGAAATACAACGAAAAATATAAGTTAAGGTCACATTGTGCTAGAATCCTGCTACTGGGTGTGGCCCTCAGACCAGAGCATTGGCATCACCTGGAAACTTGTTAGGAATTCAGAATCTCAGGCCCCACCCCAGACCTGCTGACTCATAATCTACATTTTAACAAGATCCCCAGAGGACTCAGGTGCACACTAAAGCACTGGCCCAGAACACTTCAAGAAGTAAGGTCTCTCTGTCTCCTCAAACTTTTCTAAACAGTTCTCGATAATGAGTTCTATGCCTTACAATTTCTATTACCAAAAAGCATCCCATAAAATCTGTCCACTTGTCCCACTGCCATCCAATTCCAAGCTACTTTCTTGTACATGGCCTGCTGCCTTTACCTAACAGCTCTGCCTACTTCCAGTCCTGCCCCTTTAAGTTTTTTTCTTTTTTTAATTTCTATATTTTTATTTTTTTCAATTATAGTTGACATACAATATATTAGTTTCAGGTGTACAACACAGTGATTGGACATTTATAAAACTTATAAAGTGATCACCCTCATAAATTCAGTAACCATCTGACACTATACATAGTTATTACAATATT